AAGGCACTGCCACTCTCTGCCTCAGTTTCCTCATGTGTGAAACTGAGAAAGCCAATGCTCTCCTTTGTTAAAGCACTCTTGAGATCTACTGCTATGTAAGAGCTAGGTATCACATTACCTGTGGACTCACCAGCCTTATCTTCCATAAAGTAGGGGCACATGAGCAATAGAAACTATTGAAGCCCCACTGTTGGCTGTAGTGGCAACAGAAAAGCTTGAGCTTTGACAAGTGGGTGGTTACTTACTGCCAACTCTCAGAGGAACCTTTTCCCCAGTACACAAAATTATCATTAACCCCTGACTACAATTTAGTTTCTCTAGTCATTCTCTCTCTTCCTACTGAGGACACACTGCAAGTGCATCAGTTTTACTACCAGTTAAAGTAGGTATTGCCTAACTTAAAAAAAAAAAAAAAGAGAGAGAGAGAACTGAAATGTAAAAAAATCATGAAGACAGTTTGGGCAATATTTTAAAAGCATCTAGAGACAAGTCACTTTGGAGCTTTTGAAAATAATATTCTCTGTTCATCTTGAAAGTTGGTTTTCTCTTTTTAAAACCAAACCCTAAATTTGGGCCCAAAGCTTACTGGCACTATCCTTTTAATATTAAAAATATATCATGTGTGCCCTTTTAAAGAGTGTACTTTAATATGCATTTGGATATCCTGAACATCATTTGTATGCACATAGGTATTTTTGTGTGTGACTTCCCTCCAATGTCTACACAAATCATTGATAGCCATTCAGAATTTTGTCTTGTGCATCTTGGTTGTGAAATCTTTAAAGTTTACTTTATTCCACACCCATCATGCCCAAATAAACAAACTCAACTTACTTTCTTTTCTAGACATTCTGCAAATTTCAGCTGCTTCAACAGCTTCTTCTGTTTGTTGCTGAAGCGATTGTCCTGCTCCGCACTCGTTCCCTATAATAGATAGATTTTAGTCAGTATGACATCAAACTTTATTCCACAGCTAGTCTGCCACTTGTCACTTGCCATATATTAAAACCTCTACCCCGATATAACGCGACCCGATATAATACGAATTTGGATATAATGCGGTAAAGCAGTGCTCCGGGGGGTCAGGGCTGAGCACTCCAGCGGATCAAAGCAAGTTCGATATAACGCCGTTTCACCTATAACGCGGTAAGATTTTTTGGCTCCCGAGAACAGCGTTATATCGAGGTAGAGGTGTATTTGCATTAAACACAATTTTGATAAACTGCAAAGCAATTAAAAAATATTCAGTTGTACCACCTGTGCAGACACCTTCAAGAATCATTCCACTTCACTAACCAATCGTCATATCCTACTGAAGATGGTAATCAGGTTTCAGAGCTCTGACACTTAAATCATATAATTCACCATGGTGCAGTACTTGCAAATCTAAAAGCATGCACAATACTGTCAAATAATTTTGAGTCGCAGTATACAGCCTTCTCAAAGAGATCTGCTCAGCAGGAATCAGTTCAGTTTTTTCTGTCCAAGAGCAGAAAAAAGCAGAAGGAAATAACTGGAGCATTTATGCTATAGATCAAAGGAGAAATCTTTTTAATTCTTCTATTCACCCTTGCCCCCATTATTTTTAGTAACTTCAAGCGCTCATTTTCTTCTTGAAATCTGGTGTCAAAGATAGATTTGGTTTTAAATCGGAGTCTCAGGGCTTGTCTATACTTGAAGCACTACAGAGGCACAGCTGCAGATACTGTAGCGCTACAAGTGTAGACACTCACCAAAAAAACAGGAGGGGGTCTCCTGCCGGTATAGTTAAATTGACCTCCCGGAGAGGCGGTAGCTAGGTCCAGGGAAGAAGAGCGGTCTATGCCGAGGGTTAGATTGGCTTAAATCTGTCACTCAGGGGAGTGGACTTTTCACACACAGGTCGACAACTTTTGAATGTAGACCCGGCCTTAGAGCTAAAACATCAGAAATGACATTATACACTGAAATTATCACAGAAGATTACAAATACTCAATCCTTTACTCAAGCTTCAGGTGAAATTTTTTTGAAATTTACCACCACCCTGCACAGTTCATTAATCTAGCATGTAATAAGCAACAGGTTATAAAGAGGGGAATCCTGCTTTGTTGATTGTACAGCATTATAAATGATTGATTCACTTTCATGTATAGTGAAACTATAGTCAGAGATTGAGTAATCCTGGAAACATTTGCATAAGTAGATCCATTTACTTCATACACATGCAAGTATGAATTTGCAGGATTGGGTCCTAGTATTGTATTTTTAAAACACGATGCAACAAACATTAATATAGCTCAGTTTGTCCAGACCAAAGGTTCTGAAATATTGTTCATTTGTTTAGTCTTGAATCACTAACTATGTTTTCATATTCATATATTTCTTATTTAACCAGCTATTATTGTAACTGATTCAAAAGAGAGGCATTTATACACGCACCTTCCCATACATTACAATATGGTAAGTATTTATATTAACATACTGGTCCAAGCATACAGCTTGGGATGGAACTAGAGGGCAAGCAAGTATACTGAGCTTTTGCTGCATTAAGGTACTCCATCCACTTGATTTAAAGCCATTTAGAATTTAATCCAAGCTCTCTAGTCACTCTTTGTTATGCAAACATAAATTGAATTAATCTGATCCTGAACTGCAAGCTCACCAGTCTTATATTGCATGACTGCTTCAACCTTAGTACCATCTAACTCCATGCCTAGAGACATGAAATAAGAATGTTGCCACTTTAAATCAAAAAAGTAAAAGCACATTTGTTTTTGCTTGCTTTCAGTTATTAACTTGGCACTGCAGACTGTATTGTAAAATTGTGCATCTTCTACAAAAGCATGTGTGTCAGCAAGATAAAATGCTATAAATGAAGTCATTACATACAGAGATGGGGCTATAACTCCTAATGCTCTCCTCTGTAATTCTGAAGAATAGAAATCCTAGGGGCTAGCATTTATTTTCAAGGATTAAGATACATTTGAATACGAGACTAGCCACTGTGCTTCCATGCTTGATGTGTGCCCTCTTCAGTCAAACCTGAATTTAGCATATTTGTCACATCACCCAAATATTCAAGACTCTGCAGTCAAACATAGAAATAAGATTCTCCGCCCCCCGACAGGAGGCAGAAGAAAGCAGTTGGAATTTTGCTCAGCCCCATAGCCTAGACGTTCACAAGGCATGGTAAGCAGCATTGGTCACCAAGAGATATTTGAAATTGCATGGTACAATCTGCATTTCAATGAAGAAGCCAATTTGTAAATTGTACACATTGTGTTGAGAACATGCAACGTCCCGAGATTATCAACAATAGCAACAGTCCTCTTTGCTCTGAGGAAGAGATTAAATTACTAACCTGCTTTTATAATAATCCCAAAAACTAAAAATGTGTTTGCAAAAAAGGTATTTTCACTGTAATTATTTGAGTACTTACTGACCATAAAAGCTGTGTGTGTAAAAACACATCACTTGGACAAACCCTGAATCATCAGACTTTGAACCAAACTCTGCAAAGCCAGAGGACCAAGTATACCAATTCTTTCTGTGAAGCAGTAAATGTATAGAGTCCAGTGTTTGCAGGAGGATGCCCTTAGACTGTACACTCCCTGAGGCAAAAATAACCTTTTCTTGTGTTTTTAAAGCACCATGCATACACAACCAAACAGCCTTTGCTTTGGAGTCTTTCTTCCAAGCTAAATTAAGTTGATATTTTTAGTGCCACCTACTCTCATGATCGCCTCTGGCACACATAAAACTCCATGTTAGTCCCATACGGAAAACAAGTTAATTCTAATAAGACGGGGAAAGGGAAGAAGGATACACAATAACATATCCAGAGTATATTTAAGTTTTATAGCATCTAAGGATGTTCCAGATATTTTTTCCCCACAGTGTTTGTTTTAGCAAAGGCAAAAGCCAACATGAACAAACACCCAGGAAAGCCATTTTTTAATCATTTGCTTTTGCCCAATGCTTTGCACCCGCTAAGTAAATAGACCATTCCATATGTGAAGATCCGTTTTTCCCCCGGGGAGGTAGGAAGAATATCAAATTGTTTTCTGCTGCCTGATTGGCACCGGAGGATCTAAAGGCCAAAATCACTCTTTCTCCCGACCATCTATCTCATGGTGATAAGGCAGATGCGTTCTAGGTATCGCTATGAATAAAGTTTCCCAGCTGTCAGGGCTGGACAACAGTCTCTATCGCATAACCAAAACAAGAGGGTCGCTGGCCATGACGACAAGTAGCAGGCGCAGAATGAGGTTCAGGAACCAGACTCCAGAGCGCCCACGCCGAGTAGAGATCGGGTCCCCGCCCGGGCCCCTAGCGTGGGATGGAGAGCGACCCCTCTTCCTCCCGCGGGACACCAGGCCCGCGCGGCCCACATGGCAGCAGGGCCTGGCGGAGGCCTAGCGCACGGAAAGGCCCGGCGCGTCCTGGCGGCTCAGGCCCGGGAGAGGAGGCAGCGGCCTCGCCGCGGCCCTTGGATGAGTGCGCGCGTGCGGGGGGAAGGGGGCAAGAGCTGCCCCTCCCCCGACATACCCTCCCCAGCCCCAGAGGAAAGGGCAGGCCCCTCCCTCCCTCCTCCAACATACCCAGCCCCGCGCGATGACACCGTCCCCTCGCGGCCCACCCACCCCCCCGCGGGTGGAACGAACCGCACCGACCACCTTCCGGCCGCCATTTTCTGCGCCGCGGCTCCTCACGGGAGCCTGCGCAGGGCGGGAGAGGAGGGAGGCAGGGCCGCGCTCGCGGGGGGACCCGGCGGCGGCAGCGGCCCGTCGCGGTGCTGCGCAGCGGCCCGGCTCCCCGCGTTCTCCCGGCCGGGCCGCTCCACCTGCCCGCTTAGGGGAGCACTTACGCGGAAGAAGCCCGCATCCATCTTGCCTCCTCCTGGCCGCAGAGCACTCCCTATCCCGGCGTGCACCGCGCCCGCAAGACCCCTTCCTCCCTCCTTCCCTCACGTTCACCGCGGGGAGGAGGAAAAGCGGCGAGATGAGAGACAAGAGTCGCGCGACACAGAACGGAGTGGGCGGGTCCGAACACGACCGCGAGCCCCCAGCCGTTAGCCAATCAGCGGACGCGGCGAAGAAGGCGGGACGCGCTCCACCTCAAGCCAATCAGAAGGCACCGTGATCGGGGGAGTGAATATGGGAGGAGGGTTCAAGGGTCTATCCGGCGGGCCCCGGCCAATGAGGAGGCGGCCCAGGGAGCGTGCAGGTTCTAGCTGCGCGAGAGGCGGAACGTACCCTTCCCGCGCGGCAGCGAAGGGAAGATCGCAATGCGCGCGCAGGCCGTGTCGAGGGGGTGCTTGGGTTCAGGTGGTCATGTGATTGTGGAGTCAACTGCGCATGCGCCGAAGGGGGCCTGCCCAAGCAGGAGAGTTAAGTCATGGCCGGTGGAGCTAGTATCGCCTCATCCTCCCCTTTCCCAGCGAGGCAAACTGCCCCTCCCCCAGCCCCTCATTCCCGCGTGGCATCTGCCTCCAGCTACTCAGCGCTTCATAGGAACCCCCTCACCCTCAGTGGGGCAGTGCCCCCCTCACTGGTATAGGGCCTCCCACCTCCCCACTTCCACTAGGACAGGTCCCTCCCCCCTTCCTCGGGGACTGGTCCCCTATCGTCTCCCCCCCCCCCCATTAGGCTGTGTCTTCACTAGCAGAAAGTGCATCCTTTACCCCAGGCTACCTGCTGCGGGGTAGCGAGCCTGCTGCAACTCCTAGTAGAGACGAGGCACTATGGCCTTTACGACTAGGTAGCTAGAGGAGTTGGACCACAGGCCGGGGTATAGTGCTGAACGCGCCTAGCGCCATGGGGCAAACAACAAACTCCACTACAATTGTCCAGCTGGGAAAATCACCTTTTTGTGGTGAAGACAAAGCCTGAGTGGGGCAGGATTCTTCCTCCTGCACCCGTATTTGCTCTTTTGCCTATCAGCCATTAAAGCAATGTCACGCTACTTCCCCTCTGCTGTACATCAGGAACTTATTTATTAATTTAGCATTTGCATATTTGCCAGGCAATAGCATTCTTAGTGGCCAAGTGGAGCTCTTGGAGCTCACGGCTGAATTTGGTTAGCAAGCACTCCTCGAGAATGCATATTATTGTTTAATCTGCACCACAGCTTGGATTGTCTCGAAGACCCCAACGGTGCTGGTTGGCTGCACGAAGGCCTTGCCCAGTCCGGAATCAGTTAAGAAAGACCTACTGACAACATGGCATGTCAAAGCCAGATGGGTGAGCAGTAGGGTCTGTGACGAGGTACTGATTGGTGGTTGATGTTAAGCAGCAGTCTTCCCGCCACAGGGACTCCACTGTCATGTCCTGGCATGGCAGCCTCAACCACAGTGGGTGTCGTGATGAAAGACGTGTAGCTGGTGGGCTAAAAAGGTCATTGGGGTAAGCTGGCAACCTGGGGTTGTCATGTACATTCTCAAGCAGCTTGCCAGCTGCAATCTCCCTCCTGAGATAAGGGGGAACGATGTGGCTTAGAACTGGAAGCCATGGAAGATGAGTCAGTCAGAGAGTTCCCGTGATGATGCACATTGTTGAGTTGAGTTGCTCATCAACAAGTTTGGTGTGTGCCAACCAACTCCGTACTGGTGCACTGTACTCTGCTATTGAGTACGAGATGGCAAGGGCTGAAATCCTGAGGGCTGGAGCATCTGCTCCCCATGAAGAACCTGCCAGTTTGCGGCGAAGCTTGTTGCATGTCTTGTCTATGTAATAGAAATTCTACATCACACACCTGTGCTCTCTGAATACTAGACAAGTATGTCCTGTGTTCTCCCACACACAGAGTGAGTGCTGCAGGGCCTGATCCAGCTGTCATTACAGCACTGTAAGTCAAGAGCCACTCAAGGATCAAAGTAACGGGTAGCCGTGTTAGTCTGAATCTGTAAAAAGCAAAGGTGCCACAGGACCCTCTGTTGCTTTTTTCAAGGATCAAACTGGATTGAGACTGTTTTCATGCTTTATGTCTTTAGCAACCATGACCTGCTGGAAATTACTTGCTCCCCTAGCTCATCTGCAAAATGCTTCCAGCCTCTAGAGGAAGAGAACATCTGAACATATGGTAGCCGGTTTTCCCATCGCTTCATTATTTGTACTGACAGAGAGCAATATTTTGAAAGCAGAATTATCTAATATCTATGGGAGAGAATAGGTCAGTGTCAAAAAGTTATTGTAACCGTTACAATAGTAAATAGTACGGATTTAAAACACGCGTTTTGGAAGAGATAAAAGCCCCTCATGCTTTCAGAAATAAACCAGTCTAATTGGGATTAGAAAGAAACTTTCTTGGTTGGTTATAACGTAACTTCTGACTGCATGAGCTTCCTGTGAAGGACGTGGTAACGGCTACAGTCAAAGGCAGGGTACTGGATTAAACAGATCTGGAGTCTGCTATACTGTGACAATGGCTATGTAATATTCATATTGTTGTATATTAAAAAGACTATTTGAAAATTACACTCCTACCTAAGTTGGGGGGGTTAGTTTTTTTTATCTAAAAGAAAAACATAAGTCTGCACATGGTTGCTGGAACTAGGGGTGCTGCCGCTCCCCTTGTCTTGAAGTAGTAATAACAACTCAAATACATGGTTTCTGCCTTCAGCGCCCCCACTATAAAAATTGTTCCATTATAAAAACGGAGTCTGTATATCTTTAAAGAGAACAAAACTGGAGTTTTTTAGTTTGGCTATGCTGTGCATTTGATGGCACTTAGCTGAAACAGACCAGGTATAGTTTCCCTTTTCTCGTTAGTTAGCAATGAGCATCTCTTCATTTGTATCCAACAGAGAATAAAGATGTTTTCAAAAAATAGCAAGTGTGTGTGTAAAACCGCAAAATTTGGCAGGGACTCAAGGGCAGCTGTGGGACTTTAGACACTATTAAAAAGGGGGGCGGGGGGAGCTAGATTTCAAATTGACATCATCTCTTTTCCAGCATGTCATACATCCAGACTGGAGGTACTACTCGGCTGAATCAGCTAACGTTTCTACAGCACTTTGATAATGTGAAGCAGTGGTAAGTAGCCTTATAACCAGGATTGAAAGGATTAGATTTTTATGAGTAAATGTCAGTAAATGCTGATTTCACTGTACACACACCAACCAATGAAAATATATTAGAAATAGAAATTTACAAATAGGCAAAGTAAGAAAAATGCTGCTTGAGAAAACTTAGAGCTTTATTTAAAGATATTTCTTTGCATATTTGTCATGTGATGTTGACAATTTGTGTTTTAATGGTTATAAAGCTTTAACGTTTTTGAATCTCAGCATCTTCTGTCATGAAATAGTCTATCAACCACCTCCCCATTGTCTAAACCCCTTATAATTTCCCACAAATGTGAAAATTTAAAATGGATGAAAGTTGAAAAAATATTTTAAAACAAACATTGAAATTATCCATCAAAATTATATTAAAAAATAAAAATAGAATTCTGCCAAGCTTATTTATAACCATGAACGGAGACAAATTTCTGCGATATTAGCAACTGTGGCAAAGCTGAGGAGTCCATCACTTATTGTTTAATCTGTAGGGAAATACTGCCTGTAATATAGGGTAGCTGCTTCCTATCATATAGAAGGATGACGCTAGGTGGAGCTACATACCCTCTGCTAAAAAAAAAAAAAAAAAAAAAAAGTCAATTGAAAAATGCAAAAGGACCAAAAGCTGGCTTGCAGAAGCTTGTTTGCAAATTCATTTGGTGAGGTTGTAGTTGTATGGTTGTAGTTTTGGGTTTTTTTTTTTTTTTTAAGTACGGTATGTTTGCTTACTTATTTTCACTGTGGGACCAAAGAGTTGGTAGGCTTGTTTCTGTGCATAGCTTGCATGTCATGTTACAGCATTGGTGCCTAAGATGCCACTACACTCACTGGCTAAAGCTTTTCCTGTCTGTGAAGGGTTGTCTTGCCTGTAGTTATGTTTCAGTAAAATATTTAAGATGAAGAATGTTATTGCTTCTGTCTAGAGTAGTGAGGCCTTGTCTAGCCTAGAGTTTGCAGCTTTAACTATGCCAGCATAGTTAAAGCAGCAAACACCCTTCTCCTCCCCAGTGTAGATACAGTTATCCCAGTATAAAAGTGTTTACTGGTATAGCTTATTCCAGTTTAGCAAACTGTAGCTAAACTAGGCTTTTACAAGCATACACCTCTACCCCAATATAACGCGACCTGATATAACACAAATTTGGATATAACGTAGTAAAGCAGTGCTCCGGGGGGTGGGGCTGCGTGCTCCGGCGGATCAAAGCAAGTTCGATATAACACGGTTTCACCTATAACGCGGTAAGATTTTTTGGCTCCCGAGGACAGCGTTATATCGGGGTAGAGGTGTAGTAATGTTATTGAAAAAGGAGTAAACAGTGTGATGGCAAAGTTTGCAGACAATACTAAATTACTCAAGATAGTTAAGTCCAAAGCAGACTGCAAAGAGTTACAAAGGGATCTCACAAAACTGGGTGACTGGGTAACAAAATGGTAGATGAAATTCAATGTTGATAAATGCAAAGTAATGCATATTGGAAAACATAATCCAAACTATACATTCAAAATGATGGGGTCTAAATTAGCTGTTACTGCTTAAGAAAAGATCTTTGAATCATTGTGGATAGTTCTCTGCAAAACATCTGCTCAAAGTGCAGCAGCAGTTAAAAAAGCCAATGTTAGGAACCATTAGGAAAGGGATAGATAAGACAGAACATATCATAGTGCCACAAAATAAATCCATGGTATACCCACATCTTGAATACCATGTGTAATTCTGGTCACCTGATCTCAAAGAAAGATATATAAAAATTGGAAAAAGTACAGAGAAGGGCAACAAAAATGATTAGGGGTATGGAACAGCTTTCATGTGAGGAGAGATTAAAAAGACTGGGACTGTTCATCTTGGAAAAGAGACAACTGAGGGGAGATATGGTAGAAGTCTATAAAATCATCAATGGTGTGGAGAAAGTGAATAAGGAAGTATTATTTACCCCTTCACATCTCACACGAACCAGGGGTCA